GACAGTGCTCTGAGTTCTTCATTGATGGCTTTTCTCCACTTAGGGTCATGAGTTTCCTGCTCGAAAGTCATAGGAATTTTCTCTTCATCTAGTTTAGTCATAAAGCCTCTCATACAAGGTGACAAACAATCATAAGTGACAAAGTTACTTATAGGATGTAGAGTACACTATCTTACCCCCTTTCTTAAGGTAAATGACCATTAAAGATTAGGTTTTGAGGTTGAGTCAAACTCTTGATTCAGCACAAACCTAAAAGGACTTCCATTGGTGGATGAGTTATTGACTTCTTCCCTTTGATTTACATTTTGTTCATCCTCTATATCTATAAATTTGTAAGAGTCTTCCTCTAGTTTTCCCTGTTCAGTGTTAATAGGCACAACTTCAGGTAGGATGGTGGTATTTTGAGGTAGTTTAGGATGTATATTTAGTTGTGGTAGATTTTGAGGTGATATTTCAGGGCTGATTTAGGTAGGTTCAAGATTGATTTAGGTAGGTTGGATTGTTAAAAACTCCCATACTCTCTCATTCTCCCCTTAAATAGGAGATTTAGTGTTGTAACTTTGAGCTTCTTCAAAGGTGACATTCATGGTGATAAAGAATTTATGGAGATTTGGAGAGTAGCATTTATATCTAGGGCTGTGCAGAAAAACCTTAAACCCGGTCTGTTTGGTCCGACCCGGTGTAACATGGTCCAACCCGGTCTTGAAAAATTCAACCCGAACAAAAGACTGGACTGAACGGGTCAGACTGCACATACGGGTCAGACCAAACTAGAGACTGCTCTTTCGGACCAATCAGTCCGACCCGGTCCAGGTTCTTTTTTTAATATTAAATATTAAATAATTATATTATTTACAAAAAAAAAGATCTTACTTAGTTGAGCCCAGTAACAGTACCCTGACACCTCACGTGCATGCTTCAGACTCGGTCTCTGAACTCTGAAGTCTGATAGCCTCATTTGTCATTTCTCCATTTCTCCATATCGCATGAAAATATGATTATAGGGTAATTTAGACAAAAATAAAATACAAGAGACAAAAAAAATGGAAATCTTACATTTATAATTAACACAAATCTCTAACTAGCTCTTTGACACTTGCAAGAATAAAAAAACAGTAGTAATATTTATAGGTATTAAATAGTATGACACCTTTTTTGTACTTCATATAATACGCGAGAAAGATGATTATTTATACTTTAAAAAACTGAAAGAAACATAATTAATCTCATAACAAGGATCATGTGCAATTAAATAGTGCTTGCTTTGAAACTCAAACGGTAGTAAGCTTATGATATTGATACAAGTGAATAGGAAAGGGGATATGAAGACCTTTTTTTTTTAAGAGAGTTGGATTCAAGAAACTGGACTGGTCCAGTAACCCGGTGGACCAAGTCCAACCCGGTCCAGGTCCCAGGTCCAACAAGACTAGACCAGTCTTTGGACTGAAAATTCTAACCCGGTCTCCATTCAAACTAGACTTCGGATTGACATCCAACCCGGTCCAGTCCGGTATTTGTGCAGCCCTATTTATATCCCTTTTAAGAGGAGGAATACCCTAAAAAGACACATTTGAGAGCTCTAGGATCAAGTTTTCTCCCATGATTATTATGGACATAAGCTACACACCTAAAAACCCGCTCAAGAATAAATGTAGAAAGAGGAGTGTTGGGATAGGACTTAGTGAGAATTTCCATAGGAGTTTAGAAGTTAAGAGTTTTAGAGGGCACTTGATTGATCAAATGAGTGGCAATAAGAACACCTTACCCCAGTAAAATTTACAGACGTTATGAGTGAACATTAGGGTTCGAGTTACCTTTAGAAGATGCCTATTTTTGCATTCAACAATGCCATTTTATTGTGGTGTACTTACATAGCTAGTTTGGTGAAGTATCCCATGTTCCTTAAGTATTCTTTCAAGGTAGAGCTCATATATTCTCTTTCATTATCACTTTGAAGCGTGAGGATAAAGGTTTAAAATTGAGTTTTAATCATTTTGTGAAAATTCATGAAGATTAAAGGTAAATCAGATTTTTCTTTCATTAGAAAAACTCAGGTTATTCATGTATGGTCATCAATGAATGTTACAAACCATTTAGCATTAAAGAGAGATGTAACACGAGATGGTCCTCATATGTCACTATGAACAATGTTAAAGGGCTTAGAAAATTGATGAGCATGAGGTTTATAAGAGCTTTAGTATGTTTGGAAAACTGGCAAATATCACAAGATAAATAGGAAGTATCTTTATTCATAAGATGAGGAAGCATTTTTTATAGGTACCGAAAGCTAGGATGGCCTAATCTATAGTGCCATAATAATACATCTTTATTTACAGAACTAGCTGAAGAGTAGAGGAAAACTTCATAGTAGAGAAAGAATGATGTTTCATCTTATTTTGGTGGTTGAGTTTTCAACCAGTACAAGCCTTCTAGGATCTTAATAGTGCCAATTGTCTTCTTCAACTCCAGATCTTGAAAAATACATTTAGCAAAAGAAAAATGAACATCACACCTCTGAGTTTGAGTAATTGTTCTTACAGATAAAAGGCTATACCTTAGGCTAGGAGCATAAAGAACATTTCTTAGGGTCATTTTTGCACAAATATATGTAGTACCAATTCCTTCTACTTTAATAGATTTCCCATCAGCAATCTAATAAATTAAGGGACATGGCTTTATATCAGTGGGTAAATTTAGATTACCAGTCATGTGATATATAGCTCTTGAGTCAACAATCCACATAGCTATGTGATGTACATTAGAATTTAAGGTTAGGATTGTTTTACCTATATGTGCTATATACCCAGATCGAATGATTTTTTCTTGAGAGTTATGTTCTTCCAATAACTTTCGAGGCAGTTCTACTTCTTCCTTGTTTACATTAGGCCTTTCTTTATTCTCAAAACTACTAGAGTACCCTCAACTTTCTTGTTTTTCCCTCCTAAGAGGCTTGCCATGCAATTTCTAGCAAATCTCTCTAGTATGGCCTGACTTTTTTCAATGGTCACACCATCGGTTCCTTTTAATTTAGTTGTCACCAAAAGGGGCGCCTTTAGATAGTAATGCACTTGGCTGAGAATCAGTTACATGTGAGGTTTTAGATGATGTTAGTCTTTTTCTACTCTCTTCATTTTTGACAGTGAAAAAGACATCTCGTAGCGAAGGTAAGGGATCAAGACTCATTATTTTGCCCTTCACTTCATTGAATTTAGTGTCTAAGCCAAGTAGAATTTGAATATCCACTTTTCTTCCTTGAGATCTACATAGAGAGTGACATCTCCTTAGCACTTCTACTTAAGCAGCTCATAAAGATCAACTTTTTTCAATCTACCAACCAAGCTCATGTAGTATTTTGTGATAGATAGATTCCCTTTTCTGAAATCGTGCAGAAAGCTATCTATCTCTAATACGGCAGCCTTATTTTTTTAGTAAAGCAAACATATCTTTGGTAGCTTTCCATACTTCTTACGCTGACTGGTAAAAGGAGAAGTGAGTACTAATTTTAGTAGTCACTGCATTAACTAATTATGCTTGGACCGTGAAGTTGTTAGTTTCCCAAGTTGCATATTTAGGGTCATCTGTAAATGGCTTTGTTACCGTGCTCGTAAGATAGCCAAGTTTGCCCTTTCCTATGATGTATAGGAAAACACTAGCTGCCTATTGAAAGTAATTCTAGCCATTGAGTTTGTGTATAGTAATGGTAGTAGGATTGGCATTGATTGACGCTTGGTGACTTGAAGTATTCAAGGCTAACAACTGTTATGTATTTGCTGTCAGTCTTCTCTAATCACCTACGCCTTCTACATTCAGGTCATAAGTCCTGAACTGCATCATGGTTGCTCTAATACTATGAATGAATTTGTGATGCCATAAAAGTTTGAATAATTCATAAAAGCAACTGGATAAGTAGATATAAGAGGCCCTTAATCACAGGAGAGGATTAAGTTGAGATTCTAGGAGTTAAAGGATCTAATCGATATTATAGGGATAAAATGAAACATAAAAATAAAGGAAAGAATCTGATCCTAACAAACCCATAGACGATGCTGACTTCTAGGTTAATTAACTTAGTTATTGATTTAGAGTTTTTGGCCCAAGGCCCAATATGTGTGCCACGTTAACCGTTTTTAAAAACTATTTTGCAAAACAATTTTGCAAATTATTTTTAAAACAAAATGAAATGAAAATCTATATAGTTATATCAATTTTAAAACATTTTTAAAATTAAAAAATTGATTGATAGTAATGATTATAGATAGTTAATAATAGTAATTAATAATAAAAATAGATCAAAATAATTATAATTTTTAATAATCATATTTAGTGTATTTTAAAAATAAAAAAATAAATAAAAACAATTTAAAGTTGTTTCTTTTTTGTTTTTAAAAAATAAAAAATTAAAATATTTTTGAAAACAACTAAATGAAAAACACTTATTCAAATAAATTTTTAATTTTTTGTTTTAAAAAATAATTAAACAATTTTTAAAGCAAAAAATCAGGGCATGTTTGATTTTTATTCTATTTTTTATTTTTAAAAAATTATTTTTTAATATATTTTTTAAATTATTTTTTAAAATAAAAGAAAATGAAAATTCATTTCATTGTGTCAATTAAAAAATAATTTAAAAATTTAAAAATGAATTAATAGTGATGATTATAGATAATTAATGATGATGATTAATAATAAAATTGGTAAAAATAATTATAATTTTTAATAATTAAATGTAATGTATTTTTAAAATAAAAAATAAAACAAAAACAAGTTAAAATTATTTTTATTTTTTAAAAAAATAAAAAATAAAAATTTTTAAAAATAATTAAATGAAAAGAACTTATTCAAATAAATTTTATAATTTTTGTTTTTAAAGATAAAAAATAAATAGGCCTTAATTTTTTTTTTCTTTTGAGTTAGAAAGTGGGGAAATAGATATGCCCCTCTTTGTTTGAGCCAAAACTATGCCCCTCCAGTTGTAAACTTAAAATCTGGTATCAGGACCCTTCCATAGTCACGTCGTCACGAAAAGACTACGCCGTTCTGGAAAATATCAGAGTGAGCTCGAATGTACTATGTTTCTCCCTCCTCTGCATTTAAATACCCGATGTATCCCCTCATTCTTCGTCGGAGAAATAGCATCAATCAATTATCCTCTTCGTGATTAAGCAAGAATACCATCAGGGCATTTTCTGCTCTCGCTTCCAATTTTGAAGCTCTACAGTTAGAAGATGTCGTTGATCCCAAGTTTCTTTGGCGGCCGAAGGAGCAACGTTTTTGATCCCTTCTCTATCGACGTCTGGGATCCCTTCAAGGACTTTCCCTCCACCTCTGCTCTCTCAACTTTTTCTCGCGAAAATTCTGCATTCGTCGGAACTCGGATTGACTGGAAGGAGACGCCGGAAGCACACGTGTTCAAGGCCGATCTTCCAGGGCTGAAGAAGGACGAGGTCAAGGTTGAGATTGAAGACGACAGGGTGCTTCAGATCAGCGGAGAGAGGAACGTGGAGAAAGAAGACAAGAACGACAAGTGGCACCGCGTGGAGCGTAGCAGCGGCAAGTTCTTGAGGAGATTCAGGCTGCCGGAGAACGCCAAGATGGATCAAGTGAAGGCATCCATGGAGAATGGTGTTCTCACTGTCACTGTCCCCAAGGAACAAGTTAAGAAACCTGACGTTAAAGCCATTGAGATCTCTGGTTGAGTAGAATGCATGACAATTCTATGCTTTCATTCTGGGTCTATATACATCTCAGTTTTCGTTGTGAAAGAAAATGTTAGCGTCTGTTTTAGTAAAGCAAAGGTGTTCCTGTAAATTAACGTGTGTTTTGGTGAGTGTGGTTTTGTGATGTGAATAAAATAGAAGTTCATTTTCCTTCGTTAATTCGTCTGTGTTTGAAGTTTTTTGCTATAGACATTTTGGTGCTAATGTGAGCGAATTTCATTTTGAGTGTGAACACCAGAGGTTGTGATGTAAGCAGTTTTAATTAAATTGACGGTAAAAGAAAAAAAGATTGGAAAGAAATCAGAAGAAACTTGTGGGAAGGCCGGTTGGGTGAAGAAGCAAGCAAGACCTCTGCAAATGCGGAAGGAATGAAGTTGGGAAATTTCTCTTTTCTTTATCATCTTAATAGAGAATGGTAGTTAGTTTTAAAAAATAATAATAATTTGACTTGGATGATTTTTTTTAAATAAACTGTAAATATGATTCAAATGATGAAATTAAAATATGATTTTTTAAAAAAAATAATTGGAATATCAACTGTCATGAATTTGATTTCGAAGACTTGAATGTTATTATTCCTTGCAAAATTAATTAACATCCTAAATCCGTATTAAAGAACAATTTAAATCAATTGAAGGCCGTTACTTGCCTTCTTCACGCCTTTTCCGGACAAAATTTGTTTCTCAATCTAAGGTATTTTTGGCCCAAAAAAATTGTCCAAAGGAATAAAGAAAAATAAATTCCGCCGAATCCAAAGGATAAATCTGACTTTTTAACACATGACCTGTCACCTCAATCCGTGAACAGAATAACAAGCCTCGTGAGTGTGATAGGCGTCCGATGTGGAACGTAACGGGGTTTGCAAAACACGGTTTGATAGTGCAAGAGTGCGTTTGATTTGAGGAAGGAGAATGATTTTTATGTTTTCTTTGTCTGGTTTTGTTGATGGAAAAGGAAGGGGTTTTGTGATGATTTTTGTTTAATTTACAGGGAAGAGGATAAAATGATTAATTTACTATCATACTCACATATTTTATTTTTATTTTTTATCAGATTTTTTTATTTTTTATTTTTATTTTATATAAATTAATTTACATTTCAAAAGAATTTTATAATAGACAATCATTTTTGTTTTTATCAGTAAAGAGGCATCCATTGAAAGCCAGAAAAACCCAAATTAAAAGGCAAAACAAATAAACAGATAACAACCAGTAAAAAGAAACACCAAGCAACACGTGTTCTTAACCCATGACTTCCCTACTTGCTTCTGCAAAGAGTTGGTCCTCTCTCCTCACATGAAATGCCTGCATCGTCTGCTTCAGGAAGAATAATAGACGTTAAAGGAGATGGCGGTATTGAAACCAGACCACTTCAAAGCTCGCGCACACGAGAATTGGCCAAGAAGCTAGCTACAACCGACTTTCAATTCCAGACTAGGAAGTGCAAACTCCTCTTCCTCACCCAAGCAAGCTTGAGGGAGAGAAGAAAAGATGATGCTGGGAAGTCGGAATACACAGTTTATTTTTATTTTTTTAATTGATAGATATTTATGGAATATAAAAAAATTGTCGAGAGTAAATTAATCAGGATATTTGGTTCCTTACCCAAAAAACCCAAAATTAGATGGGATCAAAATGAGGGGAGGGGAGGAGTAAATTTTGGCCCTCCTCCCCTTTAAATTTTCCAGCTAAAAGAGGGAAAGGGTGATACCTCCAAAACTCCTAACCAAACATACTGCAAGTGTAAAAGAGTTATGAAATTGAAAATAATATTTAGGTTATTAAAGTTCGTTTAATTTATTTTAGTCCATTTTTTATTTTAATAAATTTTGGTATTTATATTTTTATGTATTTAGTATTTTAAGTTTTGATATCTTATTATGGGTTTTTGGGTGAAGTTATTTATTAAGGTGTTCACATTATGGTTTTTAGAAGTTGAATTAAGAGCTTTTATTTTTTTTAAATAATACTCTTATGTGGATGGCATAAAAGAGTATTTAGGGTAAAGAAGTTATTTCTTTTTACAACCTTCATTTTTTTTAATTGGTGTTTGTAATTGAAAACGGCTTTTCGTGCAATCATAGTATTGAGAATTTTTTGTTTAAGAAATTCTAAGCATGATTCCAACTCTTCATATTAGTTTTTTCAATTAGTGTTCTTTGTAAGATCACGTACCATGGAATTTCGGTTTATCCCATGGGTCTTTGTATCATTTTAGCATTAGAGCTTAAGTTTCCTCTAATCAATTGTATCCTTCCATTTCATTCCATTCCATCTACACATTCATCTTCATTTTTTCATCCATCCATCCATCCCTTCATTTTGCATAAATAATCTATTTATCCTTCCATCCATTCATACTTTTTCACTTATCTATCCTCTTTTATTGGAAAAAAAAATCATCTACTAACATTTTATATTTTTCGTTGTAGATCAAAATTTTGGCAAGAGGCTAGCTGCAATTTATCAGGGATAAATTTATTAAATCTACAATATCTTTTTTCCCCATATGATTTGATTTGATGAATCTTATTATTCATTATGAAATCTTAACCTATCTCAATTTCTTTTAGAATTTTATTTTCTTATGATTTTTCAAATTTGGTTTGATTCAAACACTTGAGTTAAGCTTATCTTATTTGTTGATTGGATTGCACATCATCTTATTTGATCATACTCTCTTGTTTCTTCTCAAATCTAAATTTCTCTTGTGATGTTATTTTTAAATTGTTTTTGAGTCTTGTTATTATTTGAGCACATTTGGAAGACCATGAAGAGGCTAGGATGACTCTTTTTAAAGAGGGGAAGAATGATGCAAGGACAAGTAGTGTCCAATATGTCATGCAATATAAGACTTCCAATCAATGATGGCATCAAAAATGGCAGAGTCAAGGGGAATATTTTGGCTATTAGTGTTCATTTAGTTTAATTCAGTTTTTTTTATTGAATTTTCATATTTATTTTTTATGTATTTTATTTATTTAATATTTTAAGTTTTAATAGCTTATTATGGGCTTTTGGATTTATCCATTAGAGTTTTCACATTAGAATTTTTAGAGAGTCCTTGGTGAATTGATGTGTTTTATTTCTTTAAATACTAATATTATGTAGACAACTCCCTTAAAAAAAGTAGCGAGTGTATGAGAGAGAAGATAAAGCAAGTTAGGAAGCAAAAGGCAGAGTGTCACCTCAATATTAAGGGTATGATTGGCATGAAATATAAAAGAAAAAGTATATTCCATAAGTCTTAATAATCAAAAAATACACTAAAATATTTTATGTGTAAGTTATATATAATGATAAAGTTTATAAAGTCCTAAGTATTTTGTAGAAATTTCGATAGAGTCTTCCCTATAAGTCGAACCTCCCAAAATTTTCACAAACAACAACAGAACCTACCAACCTGACCAGCAAATAGCTCCATTTTGGCAATTTACATAATAACAAAATAAGACTAGAATTTAAATATGACGTACATGAAGCATTAAGTTATAATTACAAAATACAACATTTAGTTTCACCAAAATAATAGTTGTAATATGCTTTCACTTTTTTCAAAAAGCAATCAAAAGGCCCTCAACGGTCTGCTTGAGACACAAGGTCAGCTACAATATCTGAGACCAAAGAAATTTTCAGTGAATAGTGTTTCAGTTAAAATTATACATAAAAAAATTATGAAGATAGAATTAATAGATTTATTCTAAAATAATATCATTAAATACTAGAGAATATACTTGAGCTAAAAATAAAAACAAATTCTTTTTTCAATAATACAATTCTGAAATTGAATAATACTAATAAAACAGTATAAATTTGTCAAAATTTGTACAACTCATAGAATGTAATCATCTCAAGTACTGGTGCAAATAGATAGAATCCTTTCAAAGAACTAATGCAAAAATAATAAATTATGATTTAAATATAAGAGGGCTTTATCAGAATGAATAATAAATATGGATATACAGTCTACGAGGATAAATAACCAATTAAGCATGACTAGAAACTACGAAACAAACGCAGCAAAAGCCATGAATCAAATGTATGCATGAAGCCTGCGAAAACAAATGTGAGTACAGTGCTCACAAATACCATCCCTCTGATCCACATGCATTGGCCTTCGCACAAGACTAGCACTTCCTATAAGCATCCTGCAAGTTAGGTGGATTATAACACATTAAGAGCTAACAAAACTACCGTTAACAACTAGCGTTTTGATCTTAGTCCTTCTAATAAAAACAGCGTGCATAAAATAATAAAGAAATTTTAAAGTTTCCATCTTCAACCATTCTATTCTATCATTAATTCTCATTGCCCAAGTTCATTTTCATATTAAACATAGAATTAAATAATTAGGTTGTAATAACATAAATTATTTATAAAATCAAGACATAATTATTATAAAAATTGAATTGAAAAAAGATATTAAGACAATTTATAAAGGAGTAATAATAAAATTTAAAATAAAATAATTTTATAAACATTTTACTAAAATTTTATTCGAAACACTACCCACTCACCTAAGTTTTTAAAAATCTTATAGCTAGAATTTCTCAATTTCTTGCTTACTTCAATAATGCCCTAGATTAATCTAACATGTAAACCAACATATTTTATGTCACTACAATTTCCCTTCTTAATATAAGCAAGTGAAATTAACATTCAAACTCTTCAATTATTCATTAAATTTCTCAATAACCCCTTAAGTTCCCACCAAACTCTTCAACAACTTCTACCAAATAATCAGTAACACTACACAATAATTACTCACAACTATTAACACAACTCTTATTCTAAGCTTACAAAATTTTAATTATTAGATACTCTAATAATTTCTTTTCATGTGCTACACGATTTCAATGAGCAATTTAACTTTATTACTTGCATGTAAAAACAAATACTCTCTCAAATAATATTTACAGTTCTTCCAAACTCTATTATAAAAATTTAATAATCTTATGTCCACAAATAAATCTTTTAAGAATATTTTCCAAATCTAAGAGAACATTCATCATCAATTAAACTATGAGGCAAACACCCAAGCAAAGTCTAACAATTTTTAACATTTAATTTCTTCATTAATTTTTAACATAGTAAAATAGCACACATATTATCTAAACAACACCTAAATCTCTCATTCAAGCCTTTACACGAACATGTTAA